TAATAAGATCCATTCCATCTGGTCCAGTTTTTCTTTAGAGGGATCAATAACATCTCTAAATTCATCTTGTCTGGTCGTTGCGTGTGCATCATTTCAAAGGCCAACTATTTGAGTTGATCTTATCTTTCAGAGATATCCCGATGCCTAAGTCCAGGTCGAAATGTTTCATCGCTTCTGTCGGGATTTGCTGCATGCCTATTCTCGGGAGTTGTGCCCGAAGACGAAAGTGGTTGTGCGCCAAGTCGTCGTCGAGGTAGAAGATGACAAAATGGGAAGAAAGGAGGAATGAAAGGAGAGGGAAAGAGGAGAAGGTGATGGGGTTGATCATCCTTCTTGATCGGATTTCGTGGCGGTGCGACACCCCCTTTCAACGCGATCAAATAACCGTCGACGAAGGGTTGGTAGTTGAGGTGAGGAAGGCCCGGGTTTTTGGATATAATACTTGAAACTTTACCCACTCCTCTTTATACTTTTATACCCGTCAATCTTAGACCGCACGGAGTCAGTGATCATAATCTCATTATGGAGAATATAGAAGAAAATATTGATGAGGAGGCCTGGTGGCAAAGATTGATGGCCAGACTGGAGCCATCAGAGGAGCAGAATCTAGCAGAACAACAAGGAGGCATTAATTCTGCATGTTCCCAGTTGCAAGACACACACATTCAGAAAGACGCTCGCCACAACTATGATTTACCGCCGCGTCCATGGACACCCACCACATCAACTGCCCCCTCAGGATATGGAGAATTTGATGGGCAAGGTCAAGATTATTTGTTTGCAGATCTAACACATACACAACTTGCCAATGGGACTGCATCATTGTCACATCCTCTCTCCCCAACAGAACAAATTCCCATTGCTGAACCCTCATTCCCTTTTTGGCCAGGACCATCTCTAATGCCATCACAGCAAAGTCCACAAATCCAACCACATTTTATCAATCAGGCAGAGACATATGGCATGCAGCATCTGGAGAACGAGGTGCGGCATGACCTAAATCCTTTGCAAACAAGCAACACCCTTGTCAACTATCAATCACTGCCACAAGCTGATCTTGGGGCATCTAATCAGGGGACCCTTTGGGGACACCTCTTGCCACCAGAAGCTACGCCTCTGCCACAGTGTGCAGCTCCACAGCTGTCACTAGTCGAAGCAGGCATCCCTCCCCCATTTGGCAACAACATCATCACAACAACACATAGCAGTACTCATCCATATCCCACGCAGAATTCTTTTGTTGATGAGCTGGCGGTCATTGCACAGCGGTCACAACTGCTGGCTCTCCTGGGGATGGATACCAGCATGAACATCAGTCGCCAAAAGCTCACCTGGTACTTGACATATGCTGATGAGAAATACAATTTCCTCTCAGCCGTGCCCCGTGGTCCAGACCCAAGGTGGGTTCGTGAAAGTTTGAGCGAATGTAACAGTGTATGCCCAGCTCTTGACTCTCTTTTTGATTTCCAGCAACTACATACAGACAAGAGTGTCCGCTCAGGGACAAAGAATTTTCTGACTGAGGCTCTCAAGGCACTGTACAGGGGCGGATTTCAAGAGCGGGGCATCTTTTGGAAGATATGGGGAGCACTCACCAGAGCCGGCATTGAAAGGGGCAGATTTGTGCCTAGAACACAATTGACCATGGGAGAGTACCAGACGGTAGAGAACGCTGTGGCAACCTTGAAAACAACAGCAGCGATCCAGTTTGGCCAATCTGAAGTGGACATTGCCCTGTCAAGAAGTTTTATCCGCCAGGAATGAAGAGGGGACATACCATGATGTCACGGCCATCAAATAACTTCTTCCTAATAGACCGACGGTCGACGAACCTCGGCTAACTTGGTGCTTCTAACTCGATGTCTCACCCAACCAGGAGGGCGCAGACGTTGAAAGGAATGTAACTACGACGTACTTCGGCGTAGTTACTCTATCTAGGGGATTTTTTACTGATGGCGATGTATCTCGATTTATATTGTAGCTATCTCTATCAATCTTTCACTACTGACAACAATCAAGGATCGCTGAAGAACTTCAGTGTCAAGGCCGTCGAACAACTATCTTCTGGCAGACCGACGGTCGACGAACCTCGGCTAACTTGATGCTCCTGAGTTGAAGTCTCACCCAACCGAGAGGGCGCAGACGTCGAAAGGAGTGTAACTACGGCGTACTTCGGCGTAGTTACTCTAACTGGGGTTTTGTTCTACTGATGGCGATGTATCTCGAATTGTATATAGCTATCTCTATCTGTCTTTCTCTACTGACAACAATCAAGGATCGCTGAAGAACTTCAGCGATCTTCTCAGCTAATATTATCTACTCCTCCTAGACGTTCATCCAACCCTCTCGCGCTTTGACGTACTTCAACGCACTTCGTCCAACTTCCCCGAGCCCTCGGCCATCCTCTTCCTCCTTCGACTAACTCCGCCTAACATCGCCGCACTTCTGCTCCCATTGTCCCTACTTAGCCTAACTCCGCCTAACATCGCCGCACTTCTGCTCCCATTGTCCCTACTTAGCCTAACTCCGCCTAACATCGCCGCACTTCTGCTCCCATTGTCCCTACTTAGCCTAACCCCGTCTAACTTCGCCGTACTTCTGCTCCCATTGTTCCTACTTAGCCTAACTCCGCCTAACATCGCCGCACTTCTGCTCCCATTGTCCCTACTTAGCCTAACTCCGTCTAACTTCGCCGTACTTGGTGTCAGAAGTCCTGAGTTACGTGTAGAGTAAAGAGGTTAAGGCGTGATGGGGTTTTGATGGCCAAAGGAGGGTCATTGTTGGTGGAGTAATCGAGGTGTCACGACGTAGTTCGTGACATTCAGCAATCTTCTGAACTAATATTATCTACTCCTCCTAGCATTTCACCCAACCCTCTTGCGCTTTGACGTACTTCAACGCACTTCGTCCAACTTCCCCGAGCCCTCGGTCATACTTCTCCCTACTTAGCCTAACTCCGTCTAACTTCGCCGTACTTCTACTCCCATTGTCCCTAACTCCCCCTAACTCCGTCTAACTTCGCTGTACTTCGCCGTACTTATGCTCCAGACCCCTGTATACCTTATTCTCCTGTTGTACTTCGCCGTAGTTGGTCTCAGGTGTCCTGAGTTACGTGTAGGGTGAAGGGGCTAAGACGTGATAGGAGTTTTGATGGTCAAAGGAGGGTCACTGATGGTGGGATATTCGAGGTGCCACGACGTAGTTCGTGACACATGACCTGTCATAACCTATATTGTAGTGTCACACCTACTGTTTATAGTGGGGTGTGTGTCACGAACCACGTTGTAACATCCCTGACAACCACCATCACCGACCCTCCTTTCACCATCACCGACCACCACCCGAACCACTGAGACCGACTACGACAAAGATACGAGATCCTAGAGGGTATTTGTCACGATAACCCCTACTAGCGGAGAACTACGGGGAAGTTAGAGGAAGGGAACCGGGGGGGAGCAGAGCAGGGGAAGTTAGGCGAAGTTAGTCGAGGTGAGCGGAGTAGGATATCGGGGATATGGCGAGGCACGGCGAAGTTGAACGAAGAGGACTGAGCGCGAGGCTGTGCAGGAGTTGAGGGACGTTCTATGAGAAGAGAGGGGAGGTATAGATAGTTTACAGATTGCTAAACTTCTTCAGCGATCCTTGATTGTTGTCAGTAGCGAGAGATATATTCAGTAGCTACGACCATCGAGTTAGGGAGAGCTACCACCGAGCAGTTTGACGCACTTAGGCGAAGTTAGCCGCAGTTCATCGTCGATCACCTTATCATTTACCACTCGACGTATTACTACGGCGAAGGTAGCCGTAGTTCCCCGACGAGTACCCTGTCCTAGTGAGACATTGACGCCCCACTACGACGTAGTTAGCCGAGGTTTGTCGACCGTCGGTCAGCAGAGAAGAAGAAACGACGACTGTGACACAATCGATGTAGCCAAAGAATGATATTGAAGAATCAGCAAAGTTGGTACTTTGCTGATTGTACTGTATACTGTCTACAGGTATCCTTGTCCTTGTCCTCGTCCTACTGCAAGCGTCTACGTACATACTCGGACAGGTGAAAAACTGCTTTTGAGCAAACCCAGTGGGGAAATCTCAAAAAGGGGAAAACCCGTCCCTACCTACTGCAGCACTGCCTCCAACTCCCGCTTTCCTCCATCCTAATCCGTCGAACTCGATAGAGTTCTCTTGATTCGTTGTTACCCCGTAACAAGTTTCCCCCCCCTGTCTCAAGGATCCTCGCCGAGGATCCTGAATCCTGTAACCAGGTGATGCACATGGATTGTTCTAAGACACCTTTGGTGCGCCCTGACGTCACACCCACGCTAGTACCGTTGCCACGAAACGTGTCACCCGCACGGACCTCCAATGTGATTGAGAAATTACTGACCAAGTTACCTCCCTGTCTTCTTTCTTCTTTCCTCCTCATTCCCTCTTTTCCTCTTGTTTGTCGTTCTTTCTTACTCATCTATCATTATCCAACCATATCTTACTTTTATCTTAGAGTATCAGTCTAACTCTCTCCTGTTCGTGAGCATGTCCAAACGTACTGTAAGCAAATCCCTTCGAACTCAATGTACTTCTTCCTATTTCTCACTGGCTGATGAGATTAGTTGTCTCCTTCGTCCTCTACTTGTCGGACTCGGGCCTCTACTACGGCAATGCTACCCGATGTTGACCCCGAACCTCTCATGCGCCAGACAAAACGGATGAGAATTACTTCTCAAGCTACTGGTTCCGGCCAAACTCCCATGGTTGACGCTTCTCGACAATATTAAGGATCAATATCAATCCGGCCCCTCTCGTACTCAACCTTCCTTGTTGCCTCTGGATCAGGCAACCTTCAAACAATACGTAGACTTCAAAGGGGGGGCCGAGCCACCCGCCACTGGTGAGAACCCATCTCCTGCCAAATCTGTCGAGTCCGAACACGGTACCATCGTTCCGAACCCAGACCCTCCCGGTAAACAACCCGCTGGCCCTCCTTCTGAGGCTTCCGACGAACTTGTGGAGGTCCCGACGTGCTCGGTGAAATCTTTTACGCCCCTCGCAAGGTTCCCGTCGACAAGGAACTGGTCAAGTTGCTCGCGGATCGAAAAGACTCCGAGATCGGTGAGATTTCCACCAAGTTCTGTCCTGTTGCTGACTTGTTAGCTACCCTTTGGTCCAGCATGACCTTCTCATCTGTTCGTCTTGCGTTGAAAAACGAAGCCCTTGATCGTTTCTGCAAAACCTACGCTGTAATGATCCTGCTTGTGAGGATCACCACAAATAGATAAATGTACCCTACCCGTAGGGCTGGATACTGAATCGGAACTCTGTGATGTGGGTAATACTAGTCAGTGATGATCAAAGGTCAGCAGATGTAAGTAAAGAGTGTATCAAGGAAACCAAAGAGGGTCTGAGAGAGGACGGAGGAAAAAGGAGGAGAAGAAGGAGGGAGAAGAAGAAGTGAGAAGAAAGAGGATGGGAGAAGAAAGACAATTGTCACGAACTACGTCGTGACACCTCGATTATTCCACCAACAATGACCCTCCTTTGACCATCAAAACCCCCATCACGCCTTAACCTCTTTACTCTACACGTAACTCAGGACTTCTGAGACCAAGTACGGCGAAGTTAGACGGAGTTAGGCTAGGTAGGGACAATGGGAGCAGAAGTACGGCGAAGTTAGACGGAGTTAGGCTAGGTAGGGACAATGGGAGCAGAAGTGCGGCGATGTTAGGCGGAGTTAGTCTAAGTAGGGACAATGGGAGCAGAAGTACGGCGAAGTTAGACGGAGTTAGGCTAAGTAGGGACAATGGGAGCAGAAGTGCGGCGATGTTAGGCGGAGTTAGTCGAAGGAGGAAGAGGATGGCCGAGGGCTCGGGGAAGTTGGACGAAGTGCGTTGAAGTACGTCAAAGCGCGAGAGGGTTGGATGAACGTCTAGGAGGAGTAGATAATATTAGCTGAGAAGATCGCTGAAGTTCTTCAGCGATCCTTGATTGTTGTCAGTAGTGAAAGACAGATAGAGATAGCTATAAATCAAGATACATCGCCATCAGTAGAACAAAACCCTAGTTAGAGTAACTACGCCGAAGTACGCCGTAGTTACACCCCTTTCGACGTCTGCGCCCTCCTGGTTGGGTGAGACATCGACTCAGAGCGTGAAGTTAGCCGAGGTTCGTCGACCGTCGGTCTATTAAGAAATAGTTGTTCGACGGCCGTGACAGTATCAAGGATCGCTCTTACCGACGACCCGTGCGAACCTCGGAGAAGTACAAAGATAATATGGAACCAGAAAGAAGAATTACACGAGGGATGAGTAGGGATGGAGACAGGATGGAGGAGAACGAGAGGAGAGCATTGGAGGAGCTTAGCAGAGCAATGGGGCAGGACCTTGGAGTGGAGGATAGTGTGGGGGGATCAATTCAAGGAGATGAGTTCGTTCCACCGGTGCCTTCTAACCCTCCTTCTCCTCCGTCTAATGCTCTCCCACCTGCGGGATCCCCACTTGGATCAGACCAAACCCCACGCCCAAGAGAAAACACTGGAAGTACGGCGAACTTGGGAGAAGAAGGAACACAAGGGGTGGTGTTGGCCTTGATGCAGATGGTGGCGAATATGAACAAAGACATGATGGAGGAGAGAAGGCGTAGGGAGGAATGGGAACAGAGAAGAGAAAGGGATACAGTGGGCGGGATTGCAGAAGGGATATCAGAAGGAGTGAGGTACGCCATGGGACGGCAAACTTCGGCGACCCCAAGCGTAGTGGGCGAACAACGGAAGGGGATAAAGCTACCTAACCCAGACCTCTGGAGAGGAGATCGGAACAAGTTAACCGCCTTTCTGTCTGAGTGCGACGTACATTTCGAATTGAACTCTCATCTTTTCCCCGACGACACTAAGAAAGTCTTTTTCATGATCTCTCATCTACGCGAAACACCTCTTCTTGCAGTGCAGCCCGATCTATCCAAAAGACCTCTTCCTGAGTACCTCACGACACACGATCAGTTCGTTAAGTACCTCAAGACTAACTTTGGTGATCCAGACGAAGAAGGAACTGCGGCCCGACAACTTAACGACCTCAAGCAAACCGGGTCTGCTTCGGACTACTTCTCCGCCTTCCAGCGACATGTTGCGATTCTTAAGTGGTCTGATGATGGAAACCTAGTTGACCGAGCCAAGAAAGGACTAAAATCGCACCTTCTAGATGAAATTGCAAGACACGGTAGATCGTTTGGGACTGTGAAAGAGCTATTGGAGTTTGTGATTCCCTTGGACAACCGCCTGTGGAGGAGACAAGTGGAGAAGGAGGCAGAGAGGAAAAGGGAAGGAGGGATAAGGACAACGACAGTGGTGGAAAGTCAGAGGACGGAGAAGAAAGAAGAGAAGAAATGGGAAAAGGGGCAACCTTCGGCGCAGGGTGGTGTCCAGGCGGCTATGATGTCGACGGTGGTAAAGAGTACACCGCCAAACATCGACGAAGTTCGCCGAAGATGGCCTAGGCCGAGCTCCGATCTGAGGGAGACAAGGAGGAAGGAGGGGAAGTGTACCGAGTGTGGTGGAGCAGGACATTGGCTGAAGGAATGCCCTGTAAGGGAGGCTAAGGTTAAGGTTGGACTGTTGCCTCCATGGGGGGAAAAGTTCGGAGAACGTGGTGGAGGATCGGGAGGGAACGCAGTACCTCTCGGACAGAGGAGGAACTTGAATGCGGTTGGAGGAGAAGTAGATTTGGAAGAGGACCAGGGAAAAGAAGAGGACCTGTCGCAGTAGGCGAGGCTCGGCGGGTCCGCCATATTCTCTCGGCCACCATTCCCAAACCCATAAAAGAAACACAGCTGATGGAGCCAGAGGATTGTGAATACAAAAATACACCACTCAGTACCCCTTGTTCATGCAATGTCGATAATCATCTCCTCATCCCTTCCGTTTCCAGAGATCAACCTAAATCGGACATTTTCATTAATGGAATAAAGCTAACTACGCTCTGGGACACTGGAGCTACTTGTTCATATATAAGCCCTAAGGCAGCAGCGAAGATAGGTGTAGAAAAGAGGCGATATCAGGTGAGCGTACCCGTTCACATGTTCGACGGCTCGGTGAGTGTCGCTGGGCCCATCACCGAGTTTGTCGAAGTCGGATTTAGTTTGACGAAGGACGCCGAAGTGCGATCTGTTTGTCTCGATGTAACAACGCTCTGCGACGCAGATGTTGTGATAGGGTGGGATTGGATGAGGAAGGAAGGGGTTGTCCTTGATGGAAGAGACAACTCGGTGAAATTTCCCATCCCAACCCCACCAAGTGCGGCGAAGTTAGCGGCCATAGGGCTGCCGACTCTGACGGACGCGATAGACCTCCGCGGCGAAGATGAGCTTGAAGGGCTGAGCCCGGAGGAACAAGACGAGTTGTTCCAGGTAGTTCCTGAACAATACCACCAGTACATTGACGTTTTTAATCCGAAGAAGGGAGGAGAGACCCTTCCCCCTTCAAGGTCCTACGATTTGAAGTTTGAGCTTAAGGAGGGGGCGAACCTTAAGGTCGCCTCCCTCTATGCTCAAGGAGAAGATCAGAGACGCGCGCTGAGAGACATACTAGATCGCGAAATCGCCGCTGGCCGAATTCGGGCAAGTAACTCGCCATACGGCTCACCAATGTTTATGATACCGAAGAAAGCCGAAGGACAGTGGCGAATGGTCATCGACTATCGAAAACTGAACGAAGCGACCATACCAGATGCCTACCCTCTCCCTCTAATAGGTCAAATTACCGAAGAACTTGGAAAAGCAAGGTATTTCAGCAAACTAGATCTAATTGGAGCATACCAATTGTTGAGGGTGACAGAGGGACATGAACACCTGACGGCGTTCAGGACACAGTATGGTATGTTTGAATCTCTGGTTGTTCGTGATGGGCTGCGAAACGCCCCCGCGGTCTTCCAACACTTCCTAAATGAGGTGTTTAGAGAGCTACTAGGGAATGGAGTCGTGGTCTACATTGACGATATCCTCATTTATGGGAATACGTTGGAGGAATTACGAGGAACTACGGCGAAGGTCTTTGAGGTACTGCGGAAGGCGAGCCTGTACGTGAAAGCTAGTAAGTGCGAGTTCGAAAGAGATTCGGTGGTGTTTCTGGGTTTCGTGGTATCCTCTAAAGGTGTATTGGTGAACCCAGAATACATTGATGCCATCACTTCCTTCCCACGTCCTAAGAATCTACGAGAGTCAAGGGGATTCATTGGAGTTGTAAGCTACTACAGGCGCTTTGTCCCCAACTTCTCGAAGATTGCTAGACCTATCAATGACTTGACAAGGAAGGAGGTACCATTTGTATGGGGAGTCGAACAGGAGTCAGCCTTCAAAGAGTTGAAGGCTAGGATGTGTACTGCGCCGGTGTTAGCCCATTTTGACCCTACATTGAAGACGATATTACAGACAGATGCGTCGTTCTTCGGCTGGGGGTTCATAATTTCGCAGATCAACACGGCTGGTCAAGAACACCCAGTAGCTATTGAGTCTGGTGCTTTCAACACAGCTCAACTGAATTATACGGTAGGAGAAAAGGAGTTCCTCGCTGTAGTGGAGGGTTTCAGAAGAAGGAGACACTTATTATTGCAGGTGGAAACCACAGTACTTACCGACCATCTAAACCTTACCTACTGGATGGAACCGAAACAACTCAGTCCTCGGCAAGGTAGGTGGGTAGAGGAGCTAGCTAACTTCAGGTTTAAAATGGTTTATCGGCCAGGAACCCAGGCAAGTCTTCCAGATGGATTATCTAGACGGGCGGACTATCATTCCGGGAAAGGAAGTACCATGGTACAAGAGAGCAACCTTATCCAAGGTCTGCCGAAGTTCGACGAAGTTGACGCCACCACGTCGGAGTTGCGTCACCTCCTTCGAGCATTGCAAGGGACAAGGGAGGTAAAGGAAAATGATCTTGTGGACCCTATGGATCTAGTACTTGGAGTTCAGGAGGACGAAGACATAGAAGGGGTCAGAGAAGAATTATTAGGAGTCGTTTGCGCTGAGTGTTCTCATCCTACGTGTAACGATAACGTGCAGGAACCAGGATCAATCACCGAATTACGCCGTAGTTCGCGGTCTCCTCTAATCCTTCGTGGGGGGTGGAACTCAAGAGGTTTCCTCACATTCGACGATCGCATTTATGTGCCGAACTACGCCGATGCTCGGCTGAAGATCATGAAGATGCGACATGACTCAGCCTTGGCCGGTCATCCAGGTTCGGCGAAGACCCTTGAACTAGTCCTGAGGGATTATGTCTGGGTTGGAGTAAGGAAGGATGTCGAAGATTATGTTGCTGGATGCGCGGTATGTCAGAGAGCGAAGACTAACAGACAGAAACCTCATGGGGAGCTTAAACCACTGGAGGTAGCTACGAAACCTTGGTCTAGCATCTCGATGGATTTTATCGAGGAGCTGCCAAATTCCCATGGATATAATTCCATCCTGGTAGTGGTGGATCGGTTGACCAAATGGGCCATTTTTATCCCGACTACGACGAAGTTAACCGCAGCCGGCCTATCAGAGTTGATATTGGACTATGTGGTGGCCCAGCATGGGTTGCCAGAGAATATAGTATCGGACAGGGGATCGAAGTTTACCTCCAAGTTCTGGAAGAATTTGACCGATAGTCTCGGAATAAGACTACATCTCTCTACTGCATATCATCCACAGACTGACGGACAGACCGAACGAACCAACCAGTCTTTGGAACTGTATCTTCGAATCTTCACCTCCTATCAGCAGAACGACTGGTCAAAGCTACTCGCTCGAGCTAGCTTTGCTTACAACAACACCCAGCACTCTGCGATAAACAAAACCCCATTCTATGCGAACTATGGATATCACCCTCGTTGGGCTGAAGAGATAAAGGCTAGCGAGGTCGAAGTGCCCGCTGCTACGGTGGTGGTAAAAGATTTGACTGAAATACACAAAGATTGTATCGAAGGAATTGAGAAAGCTAATGAGAAGTACGCCGAAGGATACAATAGGAAACACCGGACTACGCCGAACTTCACGGAAGGAGACCTAGTGATGCTGTCGTTAGAGAATATTAAGACGAAGAGACCAATGAAGAAGTCAGATGTTAAGCAAAGTGGGCCGTACAAGGTAGTACGGCAGGTAGGTTCTCATGCTTGTAAATTGGAATTACCAGGAACGATGGCAGGTATCCATGATGTATTCCATGTCTCCTTGCTCCGTCCTTATCACCCTCCAATATTTCCTGGTCAGCAAGCTGAGCCACCTGGGCCAGTAGAAGTAGACAATGTGGGAGAGTCTTGGGAGGTAAAGGATATTGTGGACTCTAGAGTAAATAAGAGGTCAGGAAAGTTAGAGTACTTGGTAGAGTGGTTAGGTTACGAAGGAACAGACGATTCAGTATCATGGGAACCAGTGGAGAACGTCGATGGAGCTGATGACATATTGGCGAAGTTCCACGAACTTCACCCTACTAAGCCGAAGGAAGGGCGACTGCGAAGGGCTAGGAGATAGAACGTACTGCATACAACATAGGATTACAGCTACGTACCGCTCACTTGTCCTTACTCTTACCCTTACCTTTTCCTTTTCCTTTCTCCTTCGATCTACTCGGTCCCGCGGGATTGGTGTGGAGGCTACCGATGACCGAAGGTAGATCGAGAGTCTCAGACGGGAACGCAGTAGAGAGAGAAGCATTCCATGCCCGATTCATAGCCCCAAAGAAGTCACCGAAGTCCTGGACATCTCGAGCAGCTTGCATGTCACAGAGAACGTATGGTCCGTAGACACTCGAAGGGAAGACTGAGGAGGTCGAGAGCAGTCTGGGCGGAAGCTGGGACACGAGAATTACTACGGCGACCTAACCAGTCAAGGGACGGTGGTGGCTCATACGCCATAGGGGTGACTAGGAAGGGGGTGTCGAACAGTCTTCGGCGAACATCGGCTATCTCAGTAAGGCTTCGGCGAGAGACGTCCGCTAACCTTGTCCTTGCTTCGTCGTCCAGAGCCCCAGTGTTGACTACATCTACTAACGCCGCAGTAAGATTGTTTAAAGCGTTAGCTTGACGAGAAGAGAAGTCAAGCAGGAGAGATGTATGTCACGGCCGTCGAACAAGCTGAGTAGTGAGACCGAGGACGAGAGAACGATAAGTGGCGAATTCCTTTTCGTCCTCAGGAATACGGACGTCCAGGGAGATACGAGGGTGGACGAGGGACAACCGGGGAGCAGAGGGACCAGCACGCTGAGTATCTTCATTTTCCACATCACCATCATTGAAGGCAACCTCCTTCTCTTTAGATTTCCCTTTTGATTTCTTTAAAGAAGACTTCGGTGTCTTCTGGGAAGCAGAGGGAGGGGTGACGGGAGGGGCCGCCGAAGAGGCCGGAGGAACAGAAGGACGCCGACTTCGGGTGCTGTGAGCCGGAGGAGAAGCTACCACTGGAGAGGACGGACGTGGCGCCGAAGGACGAGAGGCCGAAGGACGGGAGGCCGAAGGAGCAGAGGCCGAAGGACGGCGAGAAGACGAAGGAGGAACAGCCGGGAGACGTGATGGGCTGGCCACAGGAGCGAAGGGCGACGGCGACGGAGGCGACGGGCGGAGGTCCGGCGAAGTACGGCGAACCGACCGGAGAGACGAAGACGGTACCCGCGAACGGGGGACAGACGCTGGAGTCTGGGGAGGGGGGAGAGGAGAAGCGTCGAAGGGACGGGGCGGGATGTCCCGGGCAGAGGAAACGGGACAGAAGGAGCAGGGGCCAGACGTGCATGAAGCACAACGGAGGGCCTTGTTGTGTGGCCTGACTGCCTTGAGGCAGGGCCAGTTTGGACGATTATACGTGATAATCTCACGTCTACTAATTAGCAGGAGTAACTTCGGCGTAGTACGAATAGGTGGACTCACCGGCAACGATCACACGCTTCGTCAACACCAACCGCGATCCAACGACCAGGCTCGGACTTCATCTTCTCCCACAAGTACTCTTCTTCCCGCAGTGATCTCTTCACCCGTTTGGGCGAAGGCTCCCCTCTGGGAGTAGGTTACGTGCGGGTCGCAACTCTCACATGAAGCGC